AAAAAATACAAATGTCTTAAAAGACCTGCTTTTATATTCCAATTTCAATTAGATGCTTCAACTTTTGCCATGATTGAGCTCATTGAGGCAATTAATTTGCCACTATACTTGTTACCATCGGTAAATAAAACTATTATTATTTAATAAATAGGTCTGATTTTAGAACTTCATGAGTAGTGACAAGGATGAAATGTGTATTATCAACAAAACATGCTTACGAAAATTATTTTATAGATTTTAGTCAAAGAAAATGTTAAAATCTTTTAGTTAATGAAGACTAGTCCCACCCATCTTCAGTTTTTCCCATCAACAACATAAATTATTTGAGGTATGTCTTTGGCCCTAGTTTTACAAATCCGTGAATTCTCCAAGATATTTTTAGGGAGTAACTAGATAAAACTCGCCCTTAAATCAGATATTTGTTGGCATTCCATAACACTGTGCTGACTGAAAATTTGAGACAAGTTAGGAAGTACTGTATACAAAATGTTCTGAGGCTATAATATGATAAGAAAAAATTGGTGAATAGGCGATATAGGACTAACGTAAAAACAAAATTACAGTATTGTCGTCTTATTTGTTTTTTTGTGAATTCTTCATTGACTAGATAATATTTCAGCCTGTTGTGCTTACCGATGGGTTGAGCAAGATGCTTATCATGACCTAAATAAATATTCTGTGAAGGCTACAAAGGAGATCACTCATTATATTTGGAGTTCTCATATGCTTGAATTTTTAATTAGTTCAAGACAAAAGCCCCTTATGAAGTCTGCGATGGACGGAAATTTGTTAGCAATTTTTATTTAGATAGATAGATAGGAAAAAAAATGGAAAGTGAGGAAGAAGAAGAATGAAGCGTGGTTTTGAACTGTCTGTCTCACATGTTATAGATGATTTTTTAGTCTATAACTACTTTAATGAAATGCAGCATTTTCAAATCTCAGTTACAGACAAGTCTTTTTGTTTGTAATTTCATTAATTGCAGTTATAGACAAATATTTCTGTTTATAACGAGTTATATGAAAAGTTAAAAATATTTTCAAAATATGTAGACAAATCTTTTTCTTCTATAATTCTTTCTCAATATTTCCTGCCTTATTTTCAAATTATAGATGAAAAAATTTATTTGTAATTTCTATTTGTGATGTTGCGTGCACCAAATGGCAAGTCGTTTACAAATAGATTTTACAAGAATTGTTTGTCTCTATTATAGGTGAACTTTTCCAAAATATTAAAAAAAATTATTATGTTTATAATTTGGATGATTTTAGTAGTGATTAGCTTGTTTGAGTATGTTTTAATTGACTTTGACTCCTTCATTTGCAACTTTTCAAACTTTCTGATTAAATTCAACACTTTCATGCTCTTGATCCCCTCATCTCCTTGATACTTAGTCTTGAGATAATCCTAAATCTCCTTGGTTGAAACAAGAGTCCTGATTTTGGTGATGATGTCTGATGAAACTGCAGCATATAAGTTATAACACCCTCTGCCATTTCTTCAGCTTGGGATAGGGCTTTCAAGGCTCCATCTAGTTGAACTTCAAAAGGGATCACTAAAAATCTAGTATTAACCTTAGTGACTGGATCTACTTTCCTTTCAAAAGAAGGAAATTCTTCATCATACTTGGAAAACATCACACTAGGTGATGGCCATGTGATTAAGTCAGGATCATTGGGTGGTTCTGACAAAAGACCTTCTTTTAGGATTCTCAATCCTTCATGGTAGATAGAGAGGTTCTTTTTTTTGCCTGATACCTACCCAGGGAGAAAATCCTGGGTCCCTCCTCGAGGCTGAGGAGGAGGTTTGCATGACTTTTTCTTCTTCCTTCTAAAATTATCCTCATCATCATCTGAGTTTTCATTAGATGTGTCACCAAAGTGCATCCAACAGTCACATTCAGGATCACACATTAAAGAATCAACATCCCACATGAAATGACCATCAAATTTATCAGAAAAGATGGCAGATCCATCTGGTCTAAAACTGTATACAAGGTGGCTATGCCAACTGTAACGTTCTGAATTTTTGTAATATTGATTATTGTGTGTGTGTGTGAATGGATGTTGGAAAGTGCACTTAAGTGCGTGATAAGTTTGATAGGATAATGATGAATACTGAATGTGATGTGGATGTTGATTGTGTATCAAGATTTATTTTCTAGACTGTTTTGAAATGGGCTATGTGTATGGTGCAGAGGGTTCTCGCTGCAGCAAGAGGACCTTAGGAGGAAGGCGTGAAACTGTCGCCTTCTCGTTGTAGCAAGCTTTTGCAGAAATCAGAGTGCGGTTTCCTCTGATATTTTCACTATAGCAAGAGAAGGTGTCACTGCACCAAGGGAACCTTGCTGTATTGAGAGTGTCGCAACCAGAGAGAGGGGTGCAATTCTGGGTACAATCTCGCTGTAGTGAGCTTCTGCAGAAATCAGAGTCCAGTTCCCTCTGATATTTTTGCTGTAGCGAGAGAGGGTGTCGGTGCACTAAAGGAATCTCGTTGTACCGAGAGTGTCGCGACTAGAGGGGTATTTAAAGGGTTAGGGTTTGTGAAAAATCATTTTTCCACTTCTCTCTTCGAGCTCTCTCTCATTTCTCTCGATTTTCAAGTCATTTTTGTCGATTAAGTTGCCTCCAAATCCGTTTGGGTGTAAGATTGAAGGTTGGAAACACGTTTGGAGATACGGTTTCGTTTTTCGTCTCTCTTCCTTGTTTTCTTGGTTCTCTTTGACTTCTGATGGAGTTTTTCATATGTTTTAGGGACGAAATCTGAGTAGGGACCTTTTTCTACCATTGTATTGTGTTAGGTCTTCAATTTGAGGTCAGGGAAGACTCCACACTATCTCACTTTGTTTGGAAATCCATTTATTCACTATATGTTGTAATGTGGTTGAGATTGGATGTGGGAATATGTGTGTTTCGATGAGTTTCACATGTTGGACATGGCGTGTTAGATGTCGATTGATATTATGTGTACTGAAATGGTTGATTTGTGATGTGGATTGTAACTAGAAATTGTGTGTATGGAATGCAATGTGAATGAAAATGGGTACATGTGTTGTGTACTGTGAATGAATATAGGCCTGTGTACCGTATGCGAATATGAATGTTGTATGTGGCTAAGATGGGTGTAAAATGGCATGTTAAATACGGTTGTGAATATGCTCTGAATGGTTCAGTGATACACTGGAGGTGTGGAAGATGGGGACGATAGAAATACCTTGGAGAAGAAAGGGTGGTGGTGACACTAACAGTGAGCGTGGGTGCACTATCGGCCGCACACTCTTCTCTTGACTAGACTTTTGACCAACACCTTTGTCGAGTAACTTGTGACCGCACACTTTGTATCTGTGAGGCCAAGGCAACCGGCGACCATCCATGAGGTGAAACTGTGATCATAATATCACAGTGAGCATGGCTACGTGTAGTGAGTACACGTGTATGTGTAAAATGTTGTTGGTGCAGTGAGTACATCGGTTGTGAATTAAAATAAATTGAATGGAAAGTGTTGTTTGTAATTGATTATATTTGTGTAAAATGTGTTAGAAATTATGTGAAGTGTGTGTGAGGTTATTCTCTATGCTTGCTTGTGTTGGACAGTGTAGAGTACTTACCCTTATATTTATTTCTCAGGTGACCAAGACGATCAGCATCGAGCTCAGCGAAGGAATGAATGATATTGCTATAGGATTTAGATTTTATTTTGAAAATATGATGTATTTGGGTTAGTCCTGTAACAGTTACTTGATTAAAATTTGTAAACCTTTATTATTTTGAAATACTTTGTCTAAACTATGCGTTGGAAAAGTCTATTTAAAATGAATATTTTATTATTCACATTTTGTGAAATTTGTTATTTTGAAATTAAATTTAAGGTGTTATAACAACATGCTCATAATGAATATAAGTAGTGTCAAGAAGAGCAAGTCAAGCTGTAACAGGTAGATTTTTCCTACCATGTAGTGATAGGACTAATCTAATTACTTCAAAGTGTAGAGAAGTATATCCTTCAGTTCTCCAGTGATTAATGAACATTTTAGGAATTTTAAGATCAACATATTGTTCTTCTGAAGTAGCTGGTAATTCACACTAGTTCATTCTGATAGACTGGACGTTTTGCTTAATAGGAGATTGTTTTTTGAGAATCAGCAAGTTCATCCTGTTGGCAAGAATTTTTTTTCTTCTAAACACATTGTAGGGGCTTAACAAAAGAGCTATGGATTCATGGAGTTAAGCATCTTCAGGAACATATGTATATTCAATCAGATTTTCTATTTTGTCTGCAGCAATTCGAATACAGCTTTTTGGTAAGGTCATGGGTGAATTTAAATAGTGTTTGTATTTGTATTCATGGTATTAAACATCTTACTCACTTTATTTATAATGATTATCACACTTGTTAATGACGTTAGGTGAGAATGAACAAAACATAAAAAGAAAAATAGTTTGTATAAAGACTAAAACATAAATATGTCATATCTTCAAAATTTTTAAAATTGCAAATTTGTATAAAACTAAAAGTTATATATTTAAGCAAACTTATACACAATATAATTTCATATCCTAATTTTCTTTTTAAGAAAAGTATTTTTAAAATATTTTATAAAATTTATTATAAAAATATTAATATTAATACTTTATTCATTTATTTGAATGTACAATAAAAGATATACATATAAAATACAAATATTATTAATATAAGTTTTTAAGTTGACTTTTGTTAATAAAAATAAAAATAAAAATACACGCTTGCTTATCGACTATAAAAAAAAATTATTTTATTTTATAGAATTGTGTAAACCTTAGATATTTAAACATTTAAAACTAAAAAAAATTAATTGAAAAATAATAAATACATTATATTAAAGTTATAAAAGCAAAAATAAATGTTTTTCATTTAAATAAAATTTTATTATAATTAAAATCTTAAACTTATTCTTAAGAGTTACAATTGATATTTGTTTTGTTTTATATTTTATCCCTTTTAAAATTTGTATAATATATTCTAATATTGATCGTGTGATTAATGACCTCTGCTAGGTCATCAGTTTGTGGATAATATACTGAAAAGAAACTTCAAATTAGTTCCTAACTACGACGTCCTTAGCTGAATAGTGATGGCTCAAAGGAATGAAATGGGGCGATTTTATTAGTCTAACCAAAACTACCAGAATAGAATGTCTACCATATGATTATGGGAGCCCAGTCTCGAAGTCGACTGAACGCTCTTGCCAAACATGAGTAGGAAATCAAAAGGGTTGACGCTAATCCTTTATACGTCCTGGTTGTTTCCAAATGGCCATCCATGGAGAATGGTAAAATTCAGCAAGGCAATCCTATATTATCTGATGTGGGATGCCTGACCCAAATGGTGGAAACATCTATTGAGATTCAATCCTACACATTCTCATTTTCTTTACAAGTCTTACAAACGCATCTTCTTTAGCTTTGGGGAAGGATGACTTCTCACATCAATTGATTCACCATACAATAGATAGACCGCTATCTTCTTGATCATGAATCCAGGTTCAGCATCTACAATAATTTCTACTTTGTTACCAGGAGCTAGATTTCGTGCTATGACTTTCCAGTCTTCGTCATTAAAGGAAATTGTTGGGTCTTGCTTGCATATATGGATGGTGCACTTCGTGTAATTAATTATCAAGACACTTGTTCGAAATTCAGCTATCACATATTTTAGCGTAGACGAATAAATAATACACAGAGTCATTCCCTTCAGGTCACAATCACCAACATTAGGTACTTTGAAATACACTGAATGTCCTTCACCTGTATGGGTTAACCAATATGGATAATTGTCGCCCGGGAGAATATGATCAGCAAACCTATTGATAGTTAATTCCTGTATCAGAACAAAACCTTAGTAATTGTGCGGTTGTGCTATTCAAATGGACAATTTTGTGCCATTTCTTTGTCATTTCAATAATAAAAGAAGATGGATAAGGTACTAAATAAAAGAATATATAGATATGATAACTAATTAAAATATTCTATTTGTCAAGCTATATAACGAGAGTGCAAAAGGGCAGTTATTAATTGTTAGTTAGTTGCACTAGCCAGTTGAATAAGGACAGGTATTAGTCACTAGTTAGTTGCACTGGTCAATTAGTTAGGAAAGATTAGCTATAAATAGGAGAAATCAGATTGGATAAAGTGTAGAGTGAAATTGATAGGAGATATCCTTTGTGAAGGGGAAACCCTTGGCGAGAATTTTATTCATTTTCTGTTTTGTTCTTCAATAAAGTTGTGTTTCTATAATTCTTCTCTACTTTTCATTTTATTTTCTCCAGGTTCCTAACAATTGGTCTGACCTGCTGGATTTGTGTTGATTGAGAGATGGAATCAATGGTAGAGGCTTTGGAATTGAGGATGGAATCGTTGGATTCCAAAGTGTTGGTGACTCAAAAGTAACTTGTGCACCGTTGGCTGGGATTAAGCAGTACACAATTCAATGGGGGAAGGCACAGGGAATGGATTTCACGGACGAGGAGTCTCTGCGGTCAAAGTTGAATGAGAGGGTAGAACAACATGAGGGTGAATCAGAAACAAACATGGTGGAAAGGCAACATTGGATCCAGAAGGTGGAATTACCAAATTTTGATGGCACTGATCCATTACGATGGATTGTGTTCTTTGACATACATCACCCAAAATCAGAAGAGAATGTGCAGCTTGCCTTCATCAGTATGGGCAAAATTGCAGCGCATCAGTCTGATTCTTTAAAAAACCGATTCCATACTTGGGGTGGGAGGACCCAACAGCAGCCTTGATTCAAAGATTTGGAGGATGGAACTTGGGTTATGTGTATGGGTGACGTAGCACTTCGCTGCAATCATCAGTGGAAGAATACATTCAGGAGTTTGATGCGTTAACAACAGAGATGACGGGAACAAATTGCTGGGATATTACTTGGGAGAACTGCGACAAGAGATGAGGTGCAGAGTAAGACCTCACAACCCTGAAGATGTGATTCAGGCAATGGACTTGGCAATTGCTGTTGTAGAAGAGTTCAGGATTTAACATGGGCTGGGGAATTTACAACACCAAACCCAAGTGACTGGATATCAATACCTAGTTGTAGGGAGTCTTGTTTCATTTGGTGTTCCCAAACTAGTAGCCTCCCCAAGTCCGACTCAAGAACAAGAGTTGTCAAGGTCATACACGACGACTTTGGGCACATCCATCCATTTAGATAAAGGTATACAAGGAGAAAGAAAGGAAACAACTCAATTAACATCAAGATCTAGTTTTGCTAATATGGTTCCCTCAAGGGCAAGACAATTATCTTATGAAGAGTACATCAAAAGATGGAGGAAGGGAGATCTTTAAAGTGAGGCCAACCATTTAGTCCTATGCACAAATCCCCAAAAAAAAGTATGCAGGTCCAAGGTAGTTAAAATCGGGATTTTACTTTAAATCGTAAAGGAGAGTGAAAATCGTAAATCGTAAATTGAATCGTAAGATTTTATAAAATTCATATATATGATATAAATTCATATTATTCATATAAAATATCATAAATTAAGGGAAAAAAGCTTCAAATCAGTAAAAGTACTTAAACAACGTAGCACTCACAAATCATAATTTATTCCATAAGAATGTAATGCATTTACATGAATAAAAAATAGACCAGAACAGAAAAGATGCAAGAACAACAATAGATTTAGTTGCAGACCAGGTTGCACGCACTAGGAGGACTGTTGAATGTTGACAACAATGTTAGGGTTCAAAGCTGCTAGAGGCAAATTAGATTCCATAAAAAGGAGATATATGAAAGAGGCGTACGATAGGGTTCAACAAAATAGACTTTGCGAGAAATTTTCAAAATCGAAGTGAAATCGTAAAATCCCACAATTTGAGGGATTTTATGATTCAAATCGGGATTTTACTCAATTAGGATTTTATCCACGATTTAAATCGGTGAGACTTTTAAAATCGTAAAATCGTAAGATTTTAAGATTCAAATCGGAATTTTAACTACCTTGTGCAGGTCCTTATCCTAACAGAAGATAAACAAGCAGATGAGAACGGAGAAAAGATTTCCGCCATGGCTGCTATGTGCATTACAACCACCATGGCACCGCATCCTAAATCCACCATTTTTTTGCCATGGTTGCGGTGGTTTGGGCAAAAACTGCCACTAACATCTGCCATAACCGTTATTTGACAGCACTGACTATATGTTTCAAAGTTTGGTACCAAAAAAGTCAAAGAAAAGAACGAAATAGGTGTAACTGTGAATAATACTTCGCAAAAGAATATGGTAGAGATTAAAAGGACTAGAGATAGGATTACGTCCTTGAAGTTATTAGTTGCACAAGACACTATTAATATCATTAGTGTTAAATTGCTTATGCTCCACAAGTTGGCTCAAATGCCCTTTTGAAAGCAAAGTTTTGAGAGGTTTTAGAAGGGTTGATCCAAGACATTTCACAAATCAAAAAGATTTTCATAGGTGGAGACTTTAATGGCCATGTTGGTTATGAGAATGGTGGTTAAAATTGCGATTTTGCATGTAAGATTGTACAATTTACAATTTTCTCATGCCTAAGTGATCTTGATCACACACTCTAACTCATTTTGCTAGGATTGGTAGGATCGTAAGATCTTACTTGTAAGATCATAGAATCGAATGATTTTTCTGATCCAGCTTGAACTCATTTCTTTTGAAAAAAACCAACAAATCTGACCCAATTTTCATTGTCTCGTTAGATTAAAGACTTCAATTCATTCATTTTGGCACTTTTTTCCACCCCTTTTTTCGCTCTTATGCTCACAAAAGTTGTAAACCCCTTCTTCATTTTTCTACTTCCGGGTTTGGCATTGTTCAATTCAGTTCTTTTGCTTTTGGGTTGAACTCTTCGTTCATTTTCTTATGGATTCAACTACTCCTTACTTTGGTTTAGTTGCTACACTATTTGGGACCCTAGATTCAAGTTTCTGATATTTGCTAGGTTACACACTCTTAATCTGTTTAGTTATTTACAAAAGTCTTTTATGTGAAAAAAAAGCTGCTAGGGTGGGTAATGGGAGTTCAGGGGCTGCTAGAGTTGGAAGCAGGCAGGATGATGCTGCTGGTGGGAGTGTTCTGAATTTGGAATTGTTGTGACTTGTAAGTTTGTGGCTGTTAGTAATTTAAGGTTATTTTGTCTTATTTTTATTAATTTTTATGCATATATATGAATTTAAAATCATTTTGTATTTTAAGTAGGATGATCTTACTATCCGTGTTACGATTACATGATTTACGTGTTTCCCTAACCTTTCCGATCTTAAGTAAGATCTCGATTTTGACTACTTGGTTGTGAGGCAAGACAATTTGCAAAGGTTCATGATCGTTTTAGTTTTAGAAAGTTAAATGAGGAAGGGAAATCTATCATTGATTTCTCAATGTCCTACAACTTTAAGATTATGAATATTTGTTTTAAGAAGAAGGAGAAACATCTTATCACTTCTAAGAGCAGAGTTTCAAGGTCACAAATCAATTTTTTCTTGATAAGGAATCTAGACAAAGATACCATTTTTAATTATCTACATATTTTATTCTTTTGTCTGCACACAGTCAATTCTAGCAAGTAAATCACTTCTTCGTGAGTATAAAAATGCTGCAACTCAAGCATAATGAAGAACTGCTTACGCATATATTTTGTTTAAACGGTGATACTATGGTCATATTTTATTTATAAGGGTTTTGGAATCCGACTAATAAAGAGAGGGAAAGAACAGAGGATTTGGGACATGTCACAAAAGATTCTGATGGTTTCAACACTTTAGTGGCTATAAAGAACATAACTAGCTACCTAGTTCTTTCGCAATTGTAGTTATAGGTATGTACTAAAAAATTAATAAAAAGCAAACACATGTATCTATAAACTAAAATAATGAAAAGAAGAAACAAAGAAATAAATATTGACAATAAACTCAAAAAGTAATGGAGATAAGGATGAGTAAAAAATGGATTATAGAAATGAAAATAGGATATAATTTTCTAAAAGTGAGATCTTTTGGAAACTTTCAGCTTTCAAGATTAAAAACACAAATGGAAAATCATTCCATGTTCCTTTCATGAATAATAAAGAAATGTAAAGGCTCGTAGATAAAGATGAACCTGTGATATACTCTTGGTAAAATAATTGATGAATTTGTCGTAGCTTCCCATTCCAATCAAAAGTGATTTCAATGAAAGATCAGAGACTTGTGATGCATGTGTTGCTGTTTCTAATTTAGTAAAATTTACATCATATAGGATATCAAGAATTGTTCTTAATTCTTGAGTTAGTTCAACCTCAGAGCCACATTGCACCCAAACACATCGAAGATTGGAAAATCTTTTGAGCAACAGGGCTAGAGCACACAAATTATTATTCTGCAAATCTAAGGAAGTTATATATGATGACATGCCTGAAAATGGGTGAATATGACCAAGGGAATTCATTGTTGGTGACATCCAAGACCAAATGAGCGAAGGAAATACATCACGTGATAATCCTTCATATCCACAAAGGGACACATATCCAATGCTTTTTGATCCTACAATTGAATGGGGCACTTCTTTTATGGCTGTATCTTTTGCCATTAGTGTTGTCAAGGATTCCATCTGCACTATTTCTTCTTCCAATTTGTCAATTTTTGAACAACCAGAAAGGATGAGAGTTTTCACAGATTTTAACTTGTAGATCCTCCTTGGGAGATTGCTAAGGCTTGTACAATTCTTGAAATTTATCAAAACAAGATTACTTAGATCTCCAATGGATTCATGTACCTTGGACAAGCTAGAACAATCTTTGAGAATCAGCTTCACAAGATTTGGTAGATTTGAAAATTCAGGAGTGTGTGTCAAATACTTCGAATGACTAAGATTGAGGATTTTTAACTTATCCAGCAACTGCATGAATTGTTTTTACCAAAAGAAGAATTAGAAAAGCAAATGGTGGGAGCAATTACTATTGTCATTAAAGTAAAATTCATGTAAGATTTACCTGAGGCTCCTTCCATACTAGTTTAACGTTGCTGTATTTTAGATCCATAGCAACTACATTTCTCTGGTAAAAGTCATTAGGTATATGTTCTAAAGGAAATCTTTGCCAATAGACCAATCTCAATTGTTTGGGAAAAGACCCATAATCTCCAACAAGTTGTATATGATCAAGTTGCAAAAGTCTTAGTTTCTTCATATTCTCAAATGCTTGGGTATTGAAGCAAAGTCTACTAGTTGTTTGTGACTTCAAAGCCAAGCCCTCAATAGCTTTGGTACCCTGTGAAGAAAAAGAGCATAGAAAATATAAAAAATAAACAACAAACTTTGTCCATTTCTCAGTAGAAAGCAATATGAAATATCTGAATTTGTATCCTAAGCAAAATCTAGTGCACATCAATGACGGATACTCTCTAAATAACGAATCCCATGATTATTAGCCAAATGTTATTAGAAAGAACAAAATGATTTTCAGAAAAGTTGTGATTATGATAAGATCATGCACAATGATCAGAAATTTCAAAGTAGTATATACAGAAAAGTTCTTACAGTATGTTCTGCCAATACATCACATACATCCTCATGAGCCCACAATCGACTACGCTTCTCAGGTTCCTGTGGTGAACTTTGACGAATGATTTCTCTTCCCATGTTACGTAGCAAGTCATGCATTCCAAGTTTGTTATGTTTCTCAACCTTTATAAGGCTCCTTTCCATCAAGGTTGTTATTCCAATTCCAGGATGAAGCTCACAACCATTCAATATGTCTGTAACATAGGCTCTGTCCTTGCCTATGAAGAAACAACATATGTCGAGAAATATTTTCTTTTCCATATCATCTAAACCATCATAGCTTATTCTCAGTTTCTCTTGTATTTGATCATTTGGAATTTTCTCTAGTTTTGATAACACACTTTTCCATTCTTCTTCTATCCTTTTAAACAAATGACATCCAAGGACTTCAAGAGCCAGTGGTAGTCCACCACAGTATGCAACTACATTTCTTGACAATTCACTGAAGTCTTCGTGTGGACTTGTTTCTCTAAAGGCATGCCAACTGAAAAGCATAAGGGACTCATTTTCATCCATTTCCTTCATTTCATAGATATGGTCAACTTCAAGTAAATTAAGTATGCGTACATCTCTGGTTGTTACAATTAATACACTTCCCAAACCCATCCATTTGCGTTTTCCACACAGGGCTTCTATTTGCTGAGACTTGCTGATATCATCAAGTACAATGAGTGCTCTTTCCCCACGAAGTTTTTTCTCAATCAAATTTGTCCCTGACGCAATGCTGGGTATCTTCTTGGCCTTTATTTTTAGGACATTTGAATAAAGTTGTTCTTGTAAACGAATAAGCCCTCTACTATCTTTCTCACAAACTTCTCTAATATCTTCAATGAAACTTCTATGCTCAAAATTGCGATAAATTTGATTGAAGATGGCTTTGGCTACTGTTGTTTTACCCAATCCTCCCATTCCCCAGATCCCCACTGTACAAACCTCGCTTGATTGATTTTGAATAAACCCAATCACTTCTTCTACACGAGATTCAAGACCAACAGGAAATTGGGTAATGGACAAAAATGTTTCATCTAGTTTTGTCAAAACACCATTGACAATTTTGTTCACTGCTGTAGCTTCATTGCTTAAATAAAACAGAGTGAAAATAAATTAAGATAATTTTAAGCTTCAAGTTAAACCACGCATCATTTTCAAACAAAATAAGCAAGAAAGTATGAGTGGAGCTCATTAGAACCACTATTACTATTAGGCATCACTATATAACACATTCTTTCTAATATTCTATCCGTTATTAGTGTCGGTTAAAATTTATGGAAAACAATGAAACCCATTAAATTAGGTAGTGGACCACATATTTTGTGATTATCAATAAATTTAAGGCGTTAGGAAGTGTATTTGTAGCATTTTTCTAGTTTTAATTTACCTGAAACTCTTCACATCCCAACCAGACAAATGTGCAGCCTTATTGAGTGCCCTCTTCCACTGGGGCAATTCCTTAAAGCTTTCCCTATCCTTGCCCCGTTTTCGTGCAAGTGTTTCCAAAGCTTCCCCAAAAGCACCCTTTACATTCCGTACATCGGAAGGCTCAACATCGTAAAATATGGGTACAACAACTTGCCCAAAACTTCTGCGGCATTGAATGATTTTGTCGAGCTCGATAAGACACCAACCAGATGAAGCGTAGTTTTTGGAGAAAACAACCAAAGCTATCTGAGACCCTTCTATTGCTTGCCTTAGTCCTGCTCCAAGATTTGTTCCCTTTCGAAGTTCCTCGTCGTCAAGGAAAGTGTTGACGCCAGCATTGGCAAGGGCTGCATAGAGATGAGAAACGAAGCACTTTCGAGTATCTTCTCCCCTGAAATTGATGAACACGTCGTATTTCCATTGTCTTTTGGATTTTGAGGAAACCATTAGTTCGATTCGATGGAAGGAATTGAAGTGACCTTTGAGTTAAAAAGCACAATGCAGTGTGTAACGATCGTAGCAAACGCTTCACGCTGGAGTGGGTTCGACCTTAATTTCACTTAATTTCTTAAAGTAATTTTATAATTCCTCGTTTTTAAATAAATAATTTAAAATATATTACATTTTTTAAAAATTTTAATAAATTTTTAAATTTAAATGATTGTAAATATTATAATTATTGTTAATAAATATTTTCTTTTTTCAAAAAAATCGATGAACTTTAAATTAAAAAGTATAACAAAATTTAAATTTAAATTTAAATTAATATTAATATTAAATTTAAAATAAATATAGATAAAATTACTTCACATGTTTAGGTAAAAGAAAATCTCAAATTACTCTAGTTTAGATGAAGCTTTTAAGAAAGTTTTTATTTAAAGATTTATACTTGCAAATTAAATATAAATAATGATCATTTTATTTTTACAAAAAAAAAAAGTTTTAACAATAAATCTTTCTATTTTTTATTATATCACTTATTTAATTATTTTCTTTCTTTATCCTTCTCTTATTTATTAAAAAATACGATATTTTTTTATAAACATATAATTTCTCATTTCATAATGATTAAAGTAGAGTTATCTATCGGGTTGAATTTCCTGAACACGTTTCTTTCGTGAATATTTATCTCTGAATTTTCAATTTTTTATGATAATACATACTTATATTCTATGAAAAAATAAGACAAATAAATAAATTTATTTATCTTTTGTAGAATTACTATTATATTATGCGTTGCATTTATATTTTTATTAGTCATAGTTAATTTAATAATTTAAATTTTATATTTTAATTAATTTTATTAAATATAGTAATAATATTATTTTTTCAAAGAATGTAAATAATCTAGGTACTCTACCTAAACAAAAATATTTTAAATGAAAACAATTCAATTATTCTATCTAAATAAAATAGTTTAAAATAAAAAAATTTAATAATGTAATTTAAATTATCTTGTCCAAACACAACGAATTTTGAGTAGTATAAATGCATTGATTCAATCATGTAAGAAATGAAGTTAAAAAAAATAAAAATATAAAAACAAGTATAAATTAAAGTTTTTTTTTTTAAAAAAAAAAGGTGTCCCATGATCCATCCATCTACCGACAAAACAAGAAAAGAGAGAGAGGGTCAGCTAAAACAAGATGCTCACTACACAGTCCTTAAATTCATTACGGGTAAATTTCATCATAGATTGAACTTAATAACTGTGCAAAGTAAGAAAATGAAGTTTATCTACCTTTAATTTGAATTAAAATTATTTATAAATATAATTAATTCTTACTTTCTCATTCTATACATTAGCTAATTTTAGAATAAACAAATGTTTCATCACTTTCGTGCCTACATAGTCTACTGTAGGCATGAAGTTTCTTCAACTAAATAGGACAACCACCATTGTAGCACATTACTTTTACTTACCTCAATTTGCAGATACGCTAATCCCAGCAATGCACCAACTATGGTATTTAGTAATACCTAGATGAGTAGGTTTTAAAAAATTATAGAAATATAATGTTTAAAAATCGTAAATAGTAATTTTTTATGCAGATATATAGATTCAGAAATGAAACAATTAAAAATTATAAAATATTAAAAATTATCATTGATAATTTTTTTAAAATATTAAAAATTCAAAACTCGTCAATGAAGATTTTTTTTAAAAAATTATATACTAATTTCATGAGACTTATTGCAAGTTGTTGTTTGCATTAATTTTTTTAATATCCTTAGACAAGAAAAAGTAATGAATGAGGCAATTTGTTACGAGTTCAAATCATTCTAAGGATAGATTTAGAAAAAAAAAACATCGAAATTGTTGATACATTTTATGTTATTAACAAAGTTAACTATTTTTTGTAATTGTTGTGAGGTAGTTAAAATGGATAAAAAGTAATATTAAGCAACCACGTTGTGAATTTCAATACAAGAAAATCATGCACCATTATCTGTTGCCTAGTACAATTCTGACCAAAATAATTGTCATAAATCTTTCAAAGATCTTAATAATTACATAATTAAAAAATTTAACACAACGCCAACTTTCACGACTTTGGTGAACCACAGTTAGTGTAATATTCCTAATTTATTTACATAATTTTTCTTTAAAGAAAATAGAAATATATGTATATGATGGGATTAAAATAAGTAGGGATGAGTGAATAGAATAGATATTCGTATGCGTAAATTCTGAATCATTAAAAATGAATAAAATTTTAAAATTTCATATATATAAATCTCGTTCGTAATAGAATTAAGAATATAATTTTGAGATTATCAATTTATAATTACAGGAAAGTTAATATTTCTATATTAACAACTAATTATTAAATATTAGACATGTTGACGAGCGTTTTCTTGTTGTGTTTAAAAGATTTGTCATAAATCCTCATCAAAATTTAAACAAATTAATGTAGTATTAGGGTTAACCTAGATTGTCTCCCGTAAAAACTGGCTATTAATTTTCATTAAACATGTTAAAGACATTAATTGAACAAGCAATTAAAATGGGGGGGATTTGTGGTTTCAAATCAATATAAAGAGCAGCAAGCAAACAAGTTTAATTAATTCAAACAATAGAAAGTAGCAATCCTTAGTTCATCCACATAGATTCTATCCTCATTCCACTCAAGATTTAACACTCATCCTCTCTCCCATGAATTAGGTTAATTTAACAAGTGAAAATCAACCTTATGGTCCTAACAAAATTACGCAATTTGTTAGGCTCTAATCCCTCGTCCCAAGATTACGCAACCTTAGAATTAAACATAGGATTAAGCAATCCGTAGTTTAGAATCTCCTTAAAATGAATTAGGGTTAATTAAGCAATGTCCCTCTCATTCACCATTAATTCAATTCAAGAGGCAAGGAAGAAGTAATTCATGAAAAGAAAGGAGTTATATTATCATTAAAATCAAAGAACTCAAGAATCCATGTGAACTCACTAAGGATTACACAAAATTTAGCCCTCCATGGAAATGGGGGTCAAAAATACAGTTTGAAAATGCAGAAAACTCACTGGCATTAATGTAAAAGCAAGAGAAATGAGAAACCAAACCCTAGGTTGGACCCTTGGCTATCACCCAAGGTTACCCTAAGCTCTGAAAAATGTCCTAATTTAGTAAAGAAGAGAAAAGGTACGAAAAGTGTAAGAGCTCTCCTGCCCTAATTTGGCAAAAATCTATTTATACTAAGGTTGGCACCCTCCAAAGTGATTACTTTCATTCTTTTATAGTAAACACGTGCAGCATCAGTTGGTTTTTGCCGTTCTGTAGTATCCACTATCAACTTTGATAGTAGACACGCGCAGTACTGGTACATTTTAGACACTTTGGAGTGACTACTATGAACTTTGATAGTAGCTACGCGCAACACCTTCAATTCTGCACACTCTGGAGTGACTACAATGAACTTTCATAGTAGTCACGCACAGGCTTAGTGGATTCTGGGCTGCTGTAGTCGTCACTTTTAGCTTTGAAAGTAATCACTTTGGTCCCTTTGCTAAAAGTAGCTTGCTGTAGTGATCACTATCAATCTTGAAAGTAGTTACTTTCACCTCAAATTCCTCAAAATCCAATAATTCTTCAAAATAAGCTTGAGGATTCCTGCCACATTATTCAAATGATCAAAACATGTAAAATAAACTATTTAAATCAATGTAAATTAACAAAAAACTAAGAAACCTATATTATTTAGCTTAATTGGAATATTCATCTTATTTACACTATCTAAGTCTATTCTTTTCTATAAAAAGTAATAAATGATGTATAAAAATTTAGTAAAATGTGGATTCATCACAACCCCAAACTTAAACTTTTGCTTGTCCTCAAGCAAATCAAAACTCAAGAAAGTTACATGTAAAAGGGTTGGATTTATCTAAAAAAATTTCTCAAAATTTTTCATTCCAATATTAGACCGTAATTGACACTTCCAATATTTCCAAAATTATGGAGTCATTCAACAAAGAAAACGCACTCATATCAATTAATTTTATGCAAAGTCTCATACAAGTTAAACAAAAATTCAACAAGGTTCATTATACTTCACACAATGCAAAGAAATTATCTATCTCACAAGGTGGTGTTTCACTCTTCACTCGTCAGTGTTTCAGGCTAGGTATTTTCCCTCAATACATGCAAATTGCTCTACCCTACCATATGCTTGCCCATATTCTCAATCTCCTTTGCCTTAATACAATGATTTACCTATCAAAAGGACTTGGTTGGTCACAAATAAGGATAGGTAAGGTTCAATTTGATCAAGGAGGGTCAAAAGCTAAAGTGAGTTTTCAAGATAAGGGAATCATTTTGAGTGAGTGAATACAATCAATTAGAATGAAATGCATCAAATGAGGTAGCCTAAGAGGTTCAAGCATTCTTTCACCTTGTTTTTCATCATTTTTCATTATGTGAAGATCTCTTCAATCTCTTGGACCTTTCTTTCCTTTTTCATTCTTTCTTTTATGATTTCTTGGACTTTGGCAACCACTCTTTTTCTTCAAATTTAAGCAATTTCATTTTTACATGTATTAGTAACTTGTATGATGTCCACCACCCCAAACTTGAGAGGTTGCTTGTCCTCAAGCAACTACAATAAAAAATAACACCCCAAACTTAGTGTTTGCATTCACTCTTGATGTTACTCAAAAGAAATACGTTCTTGATGGAAGAAAAAAAAATGTTTTGGCAGACTAAGTTTGGCAAAAGAAAGGAATGTAATACAATAAGGTGCAAGGGTGGGCAATGGTGAGTGGTTGTGTGTAAAGGAGGCCTTAATCATCTAGATAAAAATTGCATAATGCATATTCAACTAAGAAGCAGGACAAGTTCTAGAAGATAGATGCAAAATTACATGAAATATACACACAGAAAGGAAATTAGGGGCTCAATTCTCTACCATGGTAAAAATGGTGATAACTACTTAACATCATGTGAGGATAATTCACCTTGCAAGAAAAGATATTCAGCATGGCATGGAGAGAAAATTATTTCAAAAGTAGAGTGTGTTAATGAATTGAATGAAAATTACAGTAAGAGTCTAGAA